CCCCCCACCCTCCGCCGCAGGCCTCGCCCCCTCCGAGGGGGAAGTGCGGCGAGCCGGGTGCCCGGGCTGCGGGGTGACCTCTCCCGTCCTCGCCCCCGACGCGGCGGCGAGACCCGAGCGCCGACCCCAGACCCTCTCCCCTACCCCCCACCCCCACCCCGGCGCTGCCTGCCCAGCTTCGCCGCCGGAGTGGGTGACCCGAGTCACATGGGGTCGGGTCGCCTCCAGCTCCCGGCCGGCTCGGCCGCCTCCTGAGCCCTGGAGATCTGGCACGGTCGCAATAAGGAAACTTACCCGAGACACTTTTCAAGGGCGAAGGGTGACAGCCCCTGAGCCCTTTTGGGCAAAGTTAGGAAACTGCAGGCTGCCGGGGTTTCTGTGCTGGCCTCGGGGTAGAGGAGACCCACGCCCGGGCACCGGCGGGCTTTCGCCCCAGGGTCGCGGGCGGGCGGGCGGGGTGTTAGCCTGTAATCGCTGTGCTTTGGCTTAGTGGCAGGGGCCGGGCTGCGATCACTTGCCTCTGCTATTCCGTTGAAATTGTGCATTGATACCCAGAATGTTTGGCCCAAAAAATGATGCGGAACCTGTACCGAGTGGAGTCAGTGAGTGAGTGTCGACTCGGATTATAGACTCTGGCAGTGTTTTTACAAATTGAAGTTAGACTTTGTTCTTAAGTGAAAACTTCCCAAGGTTGGAATTTCTGGGCTTTCGAAGAGTCACAGAAGATGGTTTGTCATTTAAGTGGTAATTAGCGCACCCTCCTTTTTTGCATCAAATGTTTCTTACAGAAAAGGTATTTTGTCAAAATGGGGGTAACAGTGTGGTAGGTACTTCAGGTGCTTGGAGATTCTTTTTCACCTGGCCGATTTCAAGTCTTTTCCAAAAATTTGTTTAAACTGGCATTTTGGTTTAGGAGGTACATCAGCAGCTCCTGGTTGTCACAGTCTACCTTACCTGCCCCCCCACCCCCCCAGGCAGGCTGCCTGAGGGGATTGAAGGGCGGGGGAGTGAGGGGACCACACTCCAGGCCAGTGAGTTGTTCTCAGCCAGTCCTGAGCCCCACAGTGCGCACTTACTGTCAGTGCTGAATGCTCTCCGGCAAGGCTCTAGTCTCGCCATCCTTGAGGGAAAGTACCTTTGTACCCTGATGGCATCTGAGTTGAAGCAGTTAGGTCTGTGCCCCTGTTAACTGGTTATGAGCCAGGCGGACTCTGGGTTCTTAACGTGCTCAGGTTGTCATTGTGGCCTACTGTGAGCATTGACTGTGAGGTGAACTGAGTCACTGAGCATGTAGTTGCTTTGAGTTGGCGTGATCAGAAAATTTACAGCCAGACAGTTTCTTCATTATCCAAACAGATGACTTCCCAACATTGACATGACTGTAAAGATGGACCAAGTGAGACAGTTTAGCAATTGGGCTTGAAGTATTCTCCGGGTGTTGAAGACTAAGTTTTTGCAGTTTAATTCTTCTTCCCCTTAGGGAAATCTGAGGTCCTACTTTGATACAGGTTTGAAGTGTGGTAGGGCAAAGTTTTTGAGTTTTAAATGTGTTCCTGGAAGGCCTGGTGTTGGATGAAGCGGGGTGTGAGGAGCAAAGAGCACAGAGCTGGGCTGTTTGGTTCTTAGTATCTTCTGCAGGAACAAATCCATGTCTTTTGCAGAGACACATCAGTCTTGGTTGTAGCCTTTTCTGGACCTCAGGCTGTGCGCCCTCATTTCTTGTTCCTTAACTAGTTTTAGTTCTCTTATGACTACCTTCAACTTAAGTTATTTTCTAAATTAGAACATATTGAAAACCCTTCAGCGAGATTAATTGCATTAGTAACATTTGCTTTTCAAGACTCCCAGTTTATGGCTATGAACAACTGTTGAAGCTGGGCAGAGTTAGGAGTGCTTGTTCTGATGCTGGTCTCCATTGGAAGGCGGTGGGCCTGGCGTCTTTAAGCAGTTTAAAGAATTATACTGCAATTGACCTTCTGAGATTACCTAATGACTTTTGTCCTGTTTTTTTTTTTTCTCTTTAAACAAGGTATGAGAGTGCTGGTAGATGCCCGCGAGAAGCTTCACATTCCTTGGGGAGATAACTCAAACCAGCTCAATGGAGACAAGTTGATGGCCTTTGACACCCGGGCCCCCATGGCGGCCAAGGGGATGGTAGAGGCCCAGGTGTTTTCACAATATCTTCCTGCTCTGCGAGCCTTGTGGGCGGACAGTGGCATACAGAATGCCTATGACCGGCGTCGAGAATTTCAACTGGTGAGAGATTCATTCTTTTAAAACGCTGCGATTTTGTATTAATGACATGTATTAAGATTTGGTTCCAGTACACTTTCTTCACTAATGTCCACAAAACAGCCTCTATCCAGAATTTTAGCTTCTGAAAATTGAAGTATCATACAGATGAACTTTATTGGACTTTGTTATAAGCAAGTTAAAAAATAACATAGACGTCATGGATTCGTGAAGCTGTTAATTTTAATTGGCCTTTTTTCTTTTTGACAGTATGGTCGTTTGATTTTTTTTTTTTTTAGGTACTTTTTTCTTTTTTTTTTTTTTTAGTTCCTTCCCTTTACAGCTATAATATTTGTCCTTTGAAAAACTTGATCTTACTCTTGGAATAAGAGTTTGGTTACCGAACCTAGTTGTTTAGATGCTGTGTTATTTAACCTTTAGAGGTATTCATGTTAAGATACATTTTATTTTAATGTTTATCAAGACATTAATGTCTTTAGTGATTTTGAAGTCATTGTGTTCTTCATCTGTCTGCACTTTGTTTTTTTAAAAGCTCCTAAGCATGTTTTACAAAATGTTCCTTCTTGAGAAACAAAATATTCTCACCTATTTTTTGTACTTGATTTCACATGAGAAGCACCTGGAATCTTATGGGTTTTTTTTATACTTTGTCTTAAATAAGTTTACCCATCAAGCTTAGTAGCTGTTACACAGCATTGAAGGGAGAGTGGGAAAGGATCCCATCTAGGTTACAGTTACAGAAATAATTGAAATAGATTTTTGATCAAGTGTTTTATAATTTAATTGTGAATGCTTTGATCATATTCTGGGTTTCATTTGCCAAAGTCCAGGAAGGTCCCAGGAATGATAGCAATCTAGACTGTCTGCCCAGTGGAGATCTGAAGTGTGGTACTGCAGTATGAAAATGCAGTGGCAGTTAAAAGTAAGGCTGCTTTTTGTTTAGTGATGTCACCGGCATTAAAGCGATCCACATTTATGGGTGTGGCTACAAAATGCCTACGGCCAGCTGTCCTTGGTGTTACAGAGTGTTCTCCGAGGCAGCCTTGGCTATTAAAGTTCCAGAGAAGTGTCCATGACAGATTTCATAAAACTGAGGCTTGCGTCTTCACTTTCTCTGAATTACCACACCCTCGTCTCAGCACCGCGGGTGACCACGTGCATCCCATGGCTGCCGCCTCTTTCATGTGCTGCATTGAGGAAGGGCAGCGGAGACTAGGCACCTCGCTGCTCGGCGTGAGTAGCTGACAGCGTTGTGTTGGAAATGACTAATTTAACTTGGCAAGTGACCAATTCTTAGATTTGTGGTTCATTGTCCTCTAGTCAGTATTGGTATTTTTTCTTCAGCAGTCTTGCTCGCTAAGTTCCTCCACACCCTGCCCATCTCCCTTCACCTCTCCCGGGGTTAAGTGCTGCTTATTCCTCTTAACTTGTTTTCTCAAATCTCTACTGTCAGTTTTTCTCAGACTCTTCTCATTTAGCCTTCCAGATTAGGGGAGAAACATCAATCTGTAACAGCATATAGTTCGTATTGATTGACAACAAACTAGAAAGTTCTCTGTGGGAAAGTGCTGGCATTGAAGTTGGGCGTCATCGCAAGACTTGAATTCAGATGGTCACGTCTTGTGGTCTCTGTGACACTGTCGTGGCATCCTTGAAGATGCCTTGAAGATCCATCTCCTAGAAGACGGGGGTTTGCTTCCCGATGTGGTGCCCTCAGCATTGTTAATAGTGCCTGGCACGTGTTGTAGGTACCAGTTATTATGTGCGATTAATGGCTCTACAGCTTTTGGATTATGGGTGGTGCTTGGCTTAGTTGTTGGACACTGAGAAAGCATTTGGCTTATGTAAAATGTCTCTTAAAGACTTCATTTCCTTGTCTTGTCTGCACATAGCAAGTCCCCAAGTCCTAGCTTTTCTACCCCTATGAAGTTCCTTCATCCACCATCCCTCCTTTCTCCTTGACATTATTTCCTGCTGCCTCTTGCTTGCACTCCCAGGTAGCCTTGTTCAAACATAGCATGAGTTTGCGCAGAAAACATTGGTCATTCTTTCTTGCCCACGGAATAGAGGGCACTTCAGCATGTATGCGAGTCCATATTCTGGCCAGCTTACCTCTGATTCCAGCAGTATGCATTTGGCCCTCGAACAGTGTGGGGCCGGCGGGCACCATCCCCCGTGCAGTGGAAAATCTCAGTACAGCTTGACTTCCCCAAACCTAACTACTGGTAGCCTGATGTTGGCTGGGAGGCTTTACCGGTAACAGGAGTGGTTGGGCAACACTCGTGTTAACCAACTCATTTTGCATCTACTGTTCATTAAATAGATGTCGGCCTTCATAACGGTCTTAGCACATCATCTTCATGCTTTGTAGGCTGAGGTGGAAGAGAAAGGCGGGCTTGGTTTGGCTGTCTTAGGAATGAAGGAGGTAGAAGGGAGACAGGAGGGCAGGGGCATTGGGTGTCATTTACTAAGTATGTAATGATTTTGCTCTGAAGTTCTTGCTTTTTCCTTTCTCTACAAATGTGTCTATAGGGTAGTAATCCTCCTAGCGTTTGCTTTTGTTTTCAGCCACCATACCGTAGAAATAAAGGCAGTCTTGTGTAATCAGAGCCCTTCTGCCAGATTGTCTAGTGTCACTGGGTTTCTGGCACGGCTTTCCTAATACTTCTTCTTCTCTGCCTTCTTCCTCATTGTCTGGCGCTGGTTCACAAGCTCTCGTCACCATTAGGTCTTTTCAGTCCTTTGGTTTGGCATCTGCCTGCTTAGAAGTGGCCCTGACGGTTCACGCCTGTGTCGCTTAGCTGTCCTTCACTAGACCACTACTCAGACAGAGCTGCGGCGCCTGTTCCTCCCACATCCCCTCGGTGTTGCTCAGCTCCCCCTTCACCTTATCGGTCATTAAATCTCACCTTTCACTCAGTACAGTGGTGACCAGTTTTACTGCAGCTGAGTGTGGTCCGTGAACCCCTTGGTCAGATGCCCATGAAATACTTGTTTAATACACAACAAAATACAGATATCTAGACTATCACAAGAGCATTTCTGATATAGAAATCTGAGGTGGGGCCCTTGACCTGCATTTCCAAGAGACCACGGTGGTAGGGGGCGGGGGGCGGGATTTGCCAGCATTTTGCTCCTTTGTCAGGAGGACCAGACTCCAGCCCACAGCTTTCCCAGAGCTCCCGGCTCCCTGCCCAGCCGGGAAGTGCTGCCTGCACTGAGCCGGCACTGCTGCCTTCTGACTCCTTGCCTGCCTGCCTGCCTGCCTTGGCCGGTTTATGCTTGGCCCTCCCTCTGAGGGGCTGGGCGTCTGTGGTGGGCCTTTTGTCTTTTTCTCTTTCTTTGGTCTTTTCTTCTTTCACTAGCATAGGTCCTGACACTTACTTTTAGTTCCTTGTTTTTTAGACATTCTGAACTGTAAGGTTCTATTCCCGGGAGGGGGTGGGGTGGGGGGGATGGGGGGGTGTCTCACACTAACTTCCTTCTGGAAAATGAGTTATTTCTGTGTACTAGTTTGTTACTTCTCTAGGAGATGGGAACTCATATTACAGAACCATAATTTTTCTTTTTTGATATGTTTAACAATCCAGCCAACCCTATAGCTTCTCCACTTTATATAAAGGCAGACTCTCCAGTGTCATAAAATACTCATTCCCCTAGCCCATCCCATTTAAAGACAGTCCACTCCCTTATCCTTTAAAGCATGAAAAGTTGGGCCTCCCTGGTGGTGCAAGTCTCAGCACTATGAAACTGTCAGCAGCCGCTGCAGCAAAAGTCTGTCTCGCCTGCTGCTCCCCTCAGTGTATTTCATTCATTCTGCCTGTTTTGCTTCCCACTTTCATTTCTGGTGAATCCTCACACCTGTAGCCTACCCCCCTGCTTTTGTATGCATGAATATTTAAAAGTAAATAAAACAAAGACCTGTCATAACCTTTATTGATACACTCGGATGAAATTTTTTTATTTAATAATATAACAGTTTATTTTTACATCATTTTGTACATTTTTTTTTTCATCTCAATTGTGATCCCTGTGGGTTTCCCATCACCGAGTCACCCGTCCCGTGCACTCCCTCCGGCCGTTTTTGATCCCATTCCCTACTCCACCCCCACAGAATGTCTCTGTTAAATGGTTGTTCATTATTCTTATTATTTTCTCGCCTGGTCCATTATACTCCTGCTATGAACAAAACCATCCGGTATTTTTCTTTCTCTTTCTGGCTTATCTCACTAAGCATGATCATTTTTAGCTCCATCCAAGTTGCTGCAAAAGGCTTGTGTTTCTTTTTTTTTTCTTTGGTTGCTGAGTAATATTCCATTGTATATATGTACCACAACTTTTTAACCCCGTCATCTACTTTTGGGCATTTGGGCTGCTTCCGTGTTTTTCCAATTGTAAATAAAGCAGCAATAAACATGGGGTGTAGGTATCTTTTTCAATCAGTGTTTTTTTGTGTTTTGGGTAGATACCTAGGAGTGGGATTGCTGGGTGGTAGGGAAACTCCAAGTTAAGCAGTTTGAGGAACCTCCAAACAGTTTTCCATAGTGGTTGTACTAGTTTGCATTCCCACCAGCAGTGCAGGAGAGTTCCTTTTTCTCCACATCCTCGC